CATAGAGGGGGAGGATCACCTCCTTGGACCTGCTTGAGATGCATCTGTGGATGCACGACAAGGTGCAGTTGGCCTTCCTAGCTGCCTCCCCACACTGCCGACTCGCGTTCATCTTGGAGTCAATAATGACTCCCAGATCCTTTTCCACCTCTGTGCTGACAAGAGGGGAGTTCCCCAGCCTGTATGTGTGGTGCCTATTGTTCCTCCCCAGGTGCATCACCTTTCACTTGTCTGTGTTAAACCCCATCCTGTTCTCCTCCGCCCATCCTTGTAACCTGTCTAGGTCCAACTGTAGCCTGTTGCTCCCCTCAATTGTGCCCACATCCCCCCACATCTTAGTGTCATCAGCAAACTTGAACAGGGTGCTTTGCACCCCCTTGTCCAAATAACTGATGTTGGAAAGCTGAGGTGTGAATTAGACAAACCCTGATTTTAATATTGTTGGTGGATGTCTTATAGACACAATGGGCTGATGACTAAACTGATGTAAATCAGTATAATTCCACCAAAGCAATGAAGGTGCCTTTCACCAGCCAAGGATCTGGCTTAGCCTGCCTTGGCTCTTCTACTCTACACCAAAATACAAAGCTGCAGAGGAAAACTAAAAGGAAGCATCTAGGGGAAAATTTACAGAACATTTTGGAACCTCAAAAAAGATTTGGTTTTGGATGAAGGAAGGTCAGAGGTCAGGAGCTGTTCTTTTGAGGACTTATTAATCTTTTCCAAATATCTTACCTTTCAGGCAATCTCACTTGTCAGTATTTCCTTCTATATTTGTATTCAGATATTTCTTAATTCATCTACAAAAATAATTTCTTTCTTAGTTCCCATTACTACTATAAGAATTTTTCTGGGAAATGGAAATAAGGAAAGATGAATAAGTCCTCAAAAGAAATAAGATGTGTTATAATTTTATGGGCTATAGAAACACAGCTTTGATTCTGTTATTGGCATACAAAAAGGAGGGACCAGAGGGGAAAGCAGTTTGCATTGTTTCAACTGCTGTACACAGGGAATAATTCAAAGTTTGAGTTTTACCCATGCCAACAATTGAATCAGAACTGATATAAAGACACCTACCAAACTTCCTTTGTGCTGCCTCGAGGAAAGAAGGCCTCTCCCCTCTCAAAATGAATGACGGGTGCCTCCCGAGATTGGGGAGACGCTGGCATCAGTGTTATCTGCAGTGTCAGTGAGCGAGGACCATCTGCAGGTGCCACCAGCAATGACAGCGGCAGTGGGGGGTGGTGAGTGGCAAGCAGGTACCGCCCACAGCCGCTGCCAGCCACATCAGCAGCAAGGCAGGGGAGTGGGCAGCAACAGCCCATAGAAGCCAGTGGTGGCTTCAGCAGTGGCCAATCTCAGGGCAGATACATGCAGCCAATCTCAGAGGGGTTTTTTTAATGTTCAGAAGAAATATCATTGACCTGTAGGCTAGGTACAGAAGTTATACGTAAACTGGTTTAAGGGATCAGAAACCGGTTTAAACCTGTAACAGAATAAAAGTTCAGTGCACATAAACCAGCTTCAAAATAGCTGAAACTGGTTTAAGATAAAACCTGGTTGAACGTAGTATCAGACTTAACTGATTTAGGTCAAACCGGTTTATGAATCTTCTGTCTCAGACCCCTTCCTGCTTCAAGTTAAATCAAGGCCCCCCAGAATCCCAGCATTTTGCAGTCCTGGGCTGGGCTGTGCTGTCCACTTCAGAGAGCAGGGCTGGCCCCTACCCTGTACTCCCTAGCTGAAGCACTGAAGGCTGGCTTGCTGGCTCACTGGCACCCCCAGGCAAATCCCTGCTGGGGTCTGGGGCCAGGGAGGGGGGTTAAACTTC